GAGAAGTCACCTGCCCCGTGTCACGCTGTGGGTCTTCAGCAGGCCCCGCGCGAGAGCCAGAGGTCTGGACTCTGAAGGTGAAGCTCTCTGGTCCCCTGTTACCAGAATACTCTGGATTTTGGTTATTCATCACTTCAGTGATGAGTTAATTTAGAAAATAGCAAAAGCAGCTGATAGAAATGGGAGTTGGCAGATGGGGGCCCTATCTGTGAAAGGAGTTGAGCACATGCTAAATTAGTTACTTAAATGCTCTCCTGCATTCACACTCCGTATACTAACAACACTGGGCAGTTAATTCACTGGAGGTGCTTAAAACGTCAGTGACTACGTTACAGAGTACAGGGGAGGATTATTTCTGAAGGAAACGGAAGTCAGTGGGGTTGGATTAATCTGAAAGTTTTAGAAGACATGAAAATAAAAGCTTTGAGCTCTCGCTCTCTAGGCCTGGGGTTTTGTCCCCATCCCTAGCTCAGAAGCCTGAGGGACTCCCAAGTGCCTCTGTCCCAAGACCATTTTCCATTCTGAAGTCTGGGAAAGATTACTCTTCCTCACTGATTTCCTCTGGGCTCCACAAGGACCGTTTCTAATTATTTTTTTAATGTTGTTTGTATGCATTTATGCAACTGAATACTGAAAGGTCCCTGAGGTTACTCTGTATACAGACTTCTACAGTTAAAAAAAGAACATGCCCTAGGGACAGAGCGGCAAGGCCAGGGATCACCGAGGTTGACATGAGTTGTAGGAGAGGCTTGAAAAACATTGCAGTGGGGCAGCAGTATTTTGTATGGAATGGCAGATAGCCTTGATTCAGGAAGGCTCGGTCAGACCCACTTGCTATGCTTATTTTGGGAAGAAGCAACTGTTAAATACCAGCATCGTGTACTGCAAAGATGCTTTCATAAACCTTCGTCATACCTCTGCATCCAAAATTAAATTAGCTGCAGAGCTTTGGCGCTAGGGCAAAGCTGTTGCAAATCTGCACCAGCAAGCTGGATCAGAAAGCACCTTTTCTGTGTATCCTTGCTAATTCCCATACATCCTTTCAAATGGAGACTCCTCCAGCCCTTTCAGGTCTTAGTCGCAAGAGTCTGTTTGAAGGCTCAGGCTGGAACCTAATCCTTTGTTAATTGGATTATGATAGGCACTACTCCGAACAGTCCATGTTAAAAGTATTTCTTTCACGTTGCTGTACTCTGAGGTGATGTTTGAAGGGCAGGATCATGAAGATGCTCAGGGATGGCAAGCTTCTTTCACAGCATCTCTGTAAGTAATTAGCTTTTGAAAGATGGAAGGTAAGAGCCTCCCCCTAGTTTAGGCAGATCTTGTCTGTAAATGAACACACACTGCTCAAAGCAGCAGACGTCCGGCTGGAGGTTTTCCTATGTGTTTCAAACTCGCTAGAGTCCATGACGTTGACCCGTCTGGAGCCTGTATTCCTGCCTCCCTCATCCAGCTTTAGGCGTTAGGGGCAGACTTGCAGGCTTTGAGCAGGAGTTGGGAATGGCCAAACTTTTCCTGTAAACTCCTCATTGCACCAAACTGCCCCATTGGCCACTGAAATATCTTTGTGAATCAGTTCCACAGATCACAGGCCTTTCTAGTTCCTGAGATAATGGGAAGAAGCCATATTATTAAAAATGAAAGATCACTAGCTTTGGGGAGCTTCAGAGGTATACGTGGGCTTACAGTGAAAAGCTGGCTCATCAGTGTAGCTGGTTTAACAGGATGAAGATGTGCTGTTGCAGTGCTGTGTCGCAGTGCCCCTATGAGGGAGAGGCTGTGAACATGCCTGGTCAGCCTTCTTGATTGGGATTATATTCACACTGCCTATTACACCTGTATGAAGTACAGGACCTCACATATTCAGGACCTTCTCAGCCTTCGTATCCTAAAGATGTGGAGCCTGTGAAGATGTGAAAGCAGGCATCTGCCTTTCCCCAGATTGTATACCACCCAAGCGTCTCTTATGTGGCTACTGAAATTTTTTTTCCTTTTCTTCCTGTTTTGTCTCAGCGCTGGATTATTAACCGTAGGCACGTAAGCTTGATGGCAAACAGCCACGGAAACATTCCCAGCTGAGATTCTCGTGCTCAGTAATAACTTTTAGCATATGGGCAAACTCTGCCTGCCAGCGTTCAGGTCCCCTTGTGCCTGCTTGCTGGTGGCTGAGCTGCACAGGTGTTAGGCTGCGCTGACTTCAGATATTTGGTCAGAAAAATGATTCAGGCAATCTCTCTTCCGCAGGAGGCTGCCTCTCCTTGTGTGTCATCACATATGTAATTACTTTGTTAAAGCAATTGCAGGAGCCTGGCTTATTGGAAGAGATT